GGAGGAGGCTGAGAACCCAGACTCCTGGATCCTGATTGGAGGAGGGGGCTAGGAGTCTGGACTCCTGGATCCTGGGGAAAGAGGCAGTTGGGAGCTGGACTTCTGGGTCTAAAGGAGAAGAGGGCTGGATTCTGGGTCTCTACCTATCACCTGCTCAGCCACTCTTTCCCAAGCCCTCCCCAGTCCCTTTTTCCAGGCACCATCCCCATGACGACTCCAGGCTGTCAACACCGTTTAAAGGGCCAGTGCCCAAGTCCCAAAAGCTTAGCCCTCTCGGACTAACAAGTCCCGCCTCACCACCCCCCAACTCCCCAACCCTGAAACAAAAGCTCCTGGGACATTAATATTCCAGGCACGGACACTGTTGGTTACTGACTCCTCAGGAGGGGGAGGGAACAAGACAAAAGCCCCCCACCCTCACCCCATGTGCACCCTCAAGCAGACAGCAGAGGAATAATTTGCACGGTAGGGGCGGGGGCAGATGCAGAGGTCCTGATGGCTCCCAGGAGATGTTGAGTTTCTGCCACTGACTTGGCCTGGGACCCCTGAGCCTCATTCTCCACATCTGTAAAATGGGGGGCTAGCACTGGGTTAGCCCTGAGGTCCAGGATCAATGGCTAGGCTTCAGGATGTTTTTGTTTTGTTTTGCTTTGCTTTGCTTTGCTTTGTTTTGTTTTTTAAGCACCAGGATGTGCAGGCAGGCCAGTTTTCATGTGCACAGGCATGTTTCCGGAGTTGTAATAACAGTAGCTTTGCAGGAAGGGCTCCCTGAGCTTTGGGCACTGGGCTGATCCCTAGGAGACAAGGCACTGGCATCATCCCCATTTTACAGACAGGGCATCTGAGGCTCAGAAAAGTCATGCCGCTTGCCCAAGGTCACAAAGATGGCCAGTGGTCCAGCTGGGATCAACCCAGGTGTCTACCCTGAGGATAATGATGTCACAGAGTCGTTGTGAGGTTGAAATGAAATCGTGCCCAGCACACGCTATTCATCCGTCAATCTCCCAGACACTTATCTAGCTTCAGGGACACTTCTAGGGAGGAGGGGTACAGCAGTGAAACCGATGGATTACATTCCTGCTTGCATGGGGTGTGTATTCTGGTGGCAGGGGACAAACACAGTAAATGAGTAAGCGCATTACCAAGATAATTTCAGTGACATTTCTGTAGAGGAAATAAAACCAGTGGGGACAGAACAGAAAGTGTTCTGGAGGTAAGGGGACGTGTGAGGTGTGAGGGAGGGCTCCCTGAGGAGGTGTGGATGTGAGCAGAGACCTGAACGACAACAGGAGGCAGTGAAGAACATTCCAGGCAGAGGGGAGAGCAAGTGCAAGGGCCATGGGGTGGAAACGAGTTCAGTGAATTTGAGGAAGATCAAGGCCAATGCACCTGGAGGAGAGGGAGTAGCAGGAGGGTGGTTGGAACTGTGGTCAGAGGGGTCCAGGCCACATAGCACCTTCAAGGTCCAGGGAAGGAATACAGATTTTACTTTATTTCCTAAGTGTCATGGGCAGCCTTCCAGGGTTTTTTTGTTTGTCTTTTGTTTTTGTTTGTTGAGAGAGAGAGGGTGCAGGTGAGTGAGGGGCAGAGTCTAGAGAGGGAGAGAGAGAGAGGGAGAGAGAGAGAATCCCAGGAGGGGCAGAGAGAGAGAGAGAAGCGGAGCTCACCCTATGCAGGGCTCGTGTTCACCCGATACGGGGCTCGAACTCACGAACCATGAGATCATGACCTGAACTGAAGTCAGATGCTTAACGACTGAGCCATCCAGGCACCAGCCTTCAGAGGGTTTCAAGCAGAGAGGTGACTTGATCTGATTTACCTTCTGGAAAACTCCATCTGGCTGCTGTGTGGAGAATGGCCTGAGGGGAGGCAGGCGTAGAAGCTGGGAGACCCCTGAGTAGCTCTTAAAGGTCAATGTAAGAGACCGTGTCATTGGACTAGGGTGGCGGTAAAAAGATGATGGGGCGCCTGGGTGGCGCAGTCGGTTAAGCGTCCAACTTCAGCCAGGTCACGATCTCGTGGTCCGGGAGTTCAAGCCCCACGTCAGGCTCTGGGCTGATGGCTCAGAGCCTGGAGCCTGTTTCCGATTCTGTGTCTCCCTCTCTCTCTGCCCCTCGCCCGTTCATGCTCTGTCTCTCTCTGTCCCAAAAATAAATAAAAAACGTTGAAAAAAAATTTAAAAAAAAAAAAAAAAAAAGAAAAAGACATGGGGAGGAAAAAATATGTGGGGCCAGGATTGGACATGTTGATATTCCAGGAAGTGCCAAATCAACCCGTAAGAGTGGCTTAAGTGCACAAAGCATTATATTCAAACCTAAGAGAAGTCCAGAAGTAGGCATCCAGGGCTTTGGAGGCAGCTCCACATCATCACCAGAGACTCAGGTACCTTCCAGCTCTTAGTTCCACTATCTTTCGTGCCCTTGTCCTCTTGGTCAAGTGGCTGCCAGAACTCCAGGCATCACATCCCAGTTCCAGGCAGCATAAAGGCAACCTGGAAGAAAAAAGACTTGTCCCTTTTCTTTAGGAAGTCCTCCTGAAATTACCATATGAATTACGAGGGAAGTCACTTATCCTTATATCGAGTGTGTACAAAACTTTTTATCACGTGGCCTCATTTAGCTGCAAGGGAGTCTGGGAATATCTTTTTCTGCTGGACATAGGGCAACCATAAATATAATCAGGGTTCTTTTACTAAGAAGAATTATGGATGCTGGATTATGGATGCTGGGTAGAAAGCTAGCTGTCTCTGCCTCCATTCTCCAGAATTAATCTTTTCTACCCCTCAGCATCCAAATTGGGTTACCGAGCCCTCTTACAGGGAATATAACACTTCTGACGGTCAATTACAGTGATTTGCATCTACCTCCCTGTAAATCTTGAAGGCCTTCCAGGGCAGGGACCTCATCTGACTCATCTCTGGGCACCCAGCCCCTAAGCACCTACCTACTGCTCAGGAAATACTCGAATGAATGGGACAGAATGCAAGAGACTCGAAGCCAGAGTTAGCCCACATTTAAAGGTAAATAACCAGATCTGATCATGGCACTTTCCTGCTTCAAAACCTCCACTGGCCTTCAGGGTAAAAGCTAATCTCCAGGCTTGGCCTTTGTGGCCCTCCACTAGCACACCCCACACCCCCTCCCCAGGGCTGCACAATTTCACCCAGACAACCAGGAGGTGGAGGTGGATGCAAAATGTGGCACCAGAGAGCTCTGCATGCAGATCCCGGCCCTTCCACTGTCACTCTAAGACCTTGAGCAAGTTCTCTCTCTGGACCAACTTTCTCACCCATGAAATGGGAATTTTAAAAAGCTGGGGATTGGGGCGCCTGGGTGGCTCAGTCGGTTAACCGTCCGACTTCAGCTCAGGTCATGATCTCACGGTTCAAGAGTTCGAGCCCCACATGGGGCTCTGTGCTGACAGCTCGGAGCCTGGAGCCTGCTTTGGATTCTGTGTCTCCCTCTCTCCTGCCCCTCCCCTACTCACGGTTTTTCTCTCTCCGTCTCAAAAATAAAAATAGGCATTAAAAAAATTTTAAGCTGGGGATTGCTAATAGTGCCTAACTATTTGGGTACTCTGATGATTAAATGGAAATTATATAGGTAACACCCTTAGCACAGAGCCTGGCACAGGCATAGCAAGTGCCTAATAAACAGTAGCCATTGTGGTTATTTTATTTTGAAGATGACCGTGACAATGGTGATGGTGATGGTGATGCTGATTAATCCCAGCTTCGAGCTGTACTCTAGGCTGCTGCCTCTGCTGAAAATACCCCCTTACTAATCCCCTACCTTCCTCCTCTGATGGATTAATCAGGGTAGGTTAACCACAATAACAACAGCCCCGAAATCCCAACGGCTTAACAAAAAAGTGAATTTCTCATTCACGTTACAGTCCTGTGCAGGCAGGTCACAGCGGGCAGTCAGGGCCCTGGGCTCCTTCCAGCTTGTGATCCTGTTCTCCTACAGGCTCCTTGGGGTCCTCTCCATTCAGCCAGCAAGAACGACTGTGATTGACATGAGCCAGCCTGGAAGAGGTGTTTCTCTGTTCCACCTACATCCCACTGGCCAGAAACCAGCCACGTGGTCCCAACTAAGTACAAGGGATCTGAGGAAATGTAGTCCAATCGTGTGTCCTACCAGTTAACTTTGGTGGTGTAAGGGACCCTCCAAAATGTAGTGGCTTTAAACAACAATCATGGGTATTTGCTGTGGGAAATAACTCTGGGAGTCAGCGATCTGGACTGAGTTGGTTGGGCAGTTCATCTCTGGGTCTCAGCTGGAGTCACTCATGTGGCTGCAGTCACTTGGGGCTGGATGGGCCAGGATGGCCTCACTCACATGACCGGCAGTTGGTGCTGGCTACTGGCTGGGTTTCTCTCTCCATGTGGTCCCTTACCCTCAGGGAAGCTAGTCCAGGCATCTTTACCTGATGGTCTCAGGGCAGCAAGAGGGCACGAATAGAAATGCTACGCTTGAGAACCCATACAGTATCACTTTTAGGAAATGTGATCAAAACAAGTCAAAGCAAGTGGTTGGTCAAAGCAAGTCACAGGGCCTGCCCAGATCAACAGGATCAGAGTGCCTGCTTTCTGACAGAGGAGGGGCAAAGTCAACTTACAAAGGGCATATACAGGGATGGGAAGAATATTGTGGCCATCACTGCAGACAAATTACAACGGGTGCCCAGGTGTGAAAGGTGGGATTTGGTGAACACATAGCAGTTTCCCACACCTGGTGAACTGCTCACTCTAAAATCTGGATCCAATGGAGCTTTCTTCCAGAACCTTCTCTGATCACCCATCTCCCTAGGCAGCCTTAGTCTCCCCTTCCTCTGGGCTCCTCGTGTGCTCTGTGCTGTCCCCATTAGTGCACATACCACTGGATCGTGACTGTAGCTTCTCTGGAGCAGCTTGTCTTTACCTCCCAGAATCCAGCCCTCGGGAAATGTTGGCTGCAAGGAACTGAATGAGAGGGGAAAGAGAGAGATTGGCGATTTGGATGGGGGAGGAACGGGGGAGAGAGAAAAGACTGAATCGCAGCCCTCAACGAGTCTCCTATCCTGTCTCTCTGTCTGCTGGTCCAGGGGCTGGACAGGAAGTACAGACAGAGAATGTGACCGTGGCTGAGGGAGGGGTGGCCGAGATAACCTGCCGTCTGCACCAGTACGATGGATCCATAGTTGTCATTCAGAACCCAGCCCGGCAGACCCTCTTCTTCAACGGCACCCGCGGTGAGTGCTGGGGTAGGAAATCCTGAGTCTTGAAGGAGAAGGACTGGGGCCTGACCCCTGTGTCCTGAAAAAGGACAGAGGGGAGAGTGTGGACTCGGGTCCTGACAGAGCATGGAGCTAGGGGCCTGGACAACTTGTCCTGTGGGCATGAGGGCCTGGATCATTCTGGGTCCCCAAGGGAGTCACAGGTGGGGGTCCCTGAGATGCACGGGTATGGCTGGATGGGGAAAGGGGCAGAGCGCAGGACTGTAAGCTTCTGGAGGAAGGGCAGGTCCGTGGAGCCAGAATTCCCTAGGTTCACTCCTTCCTGTTCCTTCTGCCTAGCCCTGAAGGATGAGCGTTTCCAGCTTGAGGAGTTCTCTCCGCGCCGCGTGCGGATCCGGCTCTCAGATGCCCGCCTGGAGGACGAGGGGGGCTATTTCTGCCAGCTCTACACGGAGGATACCCACCACCAGATTGCCACGCTTACTGTATTGGGTAACGCCTCTCCCTCCTCAAACATCCCCTCCTCCTTTCTCCTCCGCTTGTCCCTTATCCTGAGACCTGATTTTTAAATCTGGTTGTTTTTAACCTCCTCGACACCTGCCCCCAGGAAACACGGCCGGTCTTCCTGACCTCCAGCCTGTGTTTGACCCCTGCCACCCTTGTGGCACCTAGTTTCTTTGAGTCCACCTCAGTGCCACCGCTGACCGCCCCCCTAACCCCTTTCTCCCTGCAGTGGCCCCAGAGAATCCCGTGGTGGAGGTCCGGGAGCAGGCGGTGGAGGGAGGCGAGGTGGAGCTCAGCTGCCTGGTTCCTCGGTCCCGCCCCGCCGCTGTCCTGCGCTGGTACCGGGA